GAAAAGGTGCGAGGGATCTTCTGGCCGGAGCGGACATGATGAACATGATTATGTTGTTGTTCTATTTTATAGTTCCTTTAGCCCATCATATTAACTTGGTGTCTTATTCATTTCTTTCTTGTCATGACTACCTTTTATGTTGATTAGTGATATGGGTTAGTGCCAGGGTCAGTTTATATTATACAATCCCTGACCCTCAAATGCTTTATATGTGTGTGCAACGAATGGGTTCCATTCATTAACATCTTGAGTTTCAGCATAGCCATCCAATGCAGACACAATATGTTTGATTTTTTGAAATCTAACCTTCTTGGGTCTTGTTTGCCCTCTTCCAATGCGTATGTGGTTGTAGCAAAATCATTGTTTTGTTGACAGCTGCTGACCCCGATGAGTGAGAAACCAAATTGGCAATTTCTGGTGTTTTTTTTTCAATTCTTCCATTACATCATGATATTTTTGAGTATGTGTTGCATTTCTAATAGGTATATAGCACAAGTAGTAGGTCATCAAAAATGCATCTCTTTCCAAACTTTTGTCCTTGCCACCAGTGCCTGAAATATAACGTGTCTTAGTCTTGTCTGTCTTGTACAACCCTGAAGGGCTCCAGTAGGCATTTCTCAAACCCAATCGGTCTTCTACCTTTTCCTTATTTGTTACCTTCCCTTCTTCAGCATACAGTGCTGTTTGTAGTGCGCCTTTAGGTTTCTGGCAAAATTGTTCATCCTGTCATTCCAATGTTTGTTCCTCTTTCATTGTCTTCACCCTTACCAAACTCTTTCAAAGCCATGGATGCACCAACTGTACCGTATTGTTACTGTAAATGTCTTCCCTTAATACCAGGCTCCCTAAACCTTCTGCGTTCACCAACCCCCTTAGCTTCTGCAATGCCTCCTCACCGCCTTCTCTTGCTAATAACTTCTGCAGACACGATGGGAGGTGAGTGAAGTAGTAAAGTATCGGGAAATCCTGCGAATTTCATGGAAACAAAACTAAAATTGCACAGAAAGTCTTATTGAAAGTCGAGGCAAAGGGAAATGACACATTCAGTTACTGTATATATATATATACATTGAATATATAAATCTCTTAAAACTATTCTCAATTAAAAGAAAACTGTACACTAAGTATCAAATACAATCACAAAACATTACAATGGCCAGCAAATACAACATCAGCACAAACACTGTAAAAGACGATTCTTTCATAGAAAAGGTAGGTACTAAGGGGGTACCATATATATATATACATACACACACCATACACAGTGTATACATATATACACATGACAACATGTGATAAGTTGATAAAGCATTCAGGGCGACAAGTCAGATCTGCCTTTGCAGCAACATGCATGTTGAATCCGATCCACCCAAGAACTGTCCAGGCAGTGCCGCAGAAACTCATTTCGAGGCAAGTTGGGCCAGGATCCACAACGGTTGCTTGTTTCCAATGCACTTTCATAAGTTTAAACATGGGAAGGCTTTCAGAAGTGAGCGCTTACATTAGAGGAGTCACGAAAGTTTCTTGCAGCGATTGGGGTAGAAGTGCTCCAAGCTCTATTCAGCCAACGGGCAACCATGAAGAAACGCCATTGATCATAGCTTCTTCATGCTGCAAAGGGGGTAGTTTTAGAGTTGCAAACTGTTTAGGTGGATCACTCCGCTGGTTGGCTTGTGGTAGGTTGGAACTTTCCTGGAGGATGCAGATACCTTTGAGGCAGCTATGGCATTTGTGCAATTCGACCTTGGAATACTAAACTGGGAATCACAGCCACACATCAGCTGCCAGGCAGTTTCAAGCTCTTTCCCAGGGTTGCGAACCCGATACGCGGGCAGCTAAGACTACACAAGGTTTGTTGTAGGATTTGTGCAACTCAAGATCTTTTTATCCCCATCAACTTCTGCGAGGTGGTGCATCGAATCGAGTTTCAATTGCCCTCCTTGCGGAAGGAGACAGGACCTGGCTTGCCAGGTGGGGATGTCTTTCACACTGAGTGAAACCCTCAGATCTGTTGGTTCTCTCTGTTTCTGACAGAGGCCTTGATAGCGAGCCGTTGAGTGGGTGGGCTCCAGCACCTGATGTCGCCTGGTGACCCAGTGGTACCCAGTAGTGGTACTAAGCCGATGTTTTTCATATGTTTTCACATTTCAAAGACATTGAAAAATCCGATCGCCAATCTACCAATGTACCAACAGCATCCAACAGCGTCCTTGAAAGTTGGATCAAGGTTCCAGACGAGAAGCTCAAACTCCTTTTGGGAGAGCGACACGACTGCATTATTGGTCAGACATTCACAGCCATGAGTTCGGCCACAAATTGCATATCGATATACTATATATATATATATATGTGTGTATAGTGAGATACTCATCCATATATATATATATACACATAAAGTACATTGAAAATACATACAGTACATGTATGTGTTGTCACTTAGGCTGGGCCTCCCATCTGCCAGCAGCTTCTTATCTGCCCGAGACTTATTTGCCAGCGGGTTGGCATGATGCGTTCAGCCAAAGCTTTGCCGGCTTTGCCTGTCTCTGAGCTTTGTGCGAGGTCGAAGGTGTGCTTGGGCCTGGAAATGGTGGCAGAGTACATCTTTGGCGCTGGGTCATGCACGAGGCGCAAGGGGGCGTCAAATTTCAAGACAAAGGGAATTGGACTCCTTCAATAAGGCCCCTACAAAGGGGGGCCTTGTTAAACGGGGCCTTGTTAAAGGGGGCCTAAACATTCTGTTATCGTTTTGCCGATTGGTGCAGCACAAATCGGCATTTTGCAGGCAGAGCGTATCGATGAGGCCTTGGGGCAAAGCGGACTTGCCAAGAAGTCTGCTAAAGACGGCTTGGACGCCTTTTGATAGATCTGTGTGGAACCAGACAAAGCGATTGGGCGTCTTGAATCCTGGTCTGCGGAAACGCTCGCCCTTTATGCACTTTACTTTACTGTTGCACAGCAAAGAGGAATCCAAACAAGTGAGTAGCAAGGTCACCTGACTTGTCATTTTGACAAGCTCTTTAGGTTCACGAGTCAAATGTGAAAGTTAACATTTACTTGTTCAGTATTCCGGTTTCAGGAAGCTGCTGCTGCTGCAGTGGCCAGAAGAGTTGGCTTGCTCAGAACCATGAAATTAGTTAGAGTATGATTGAGCGCATGGATACTATCTTATCGGCTATCGGACTCACACGTGAAAGTTGCTAGCACACATGCTCCCAGAAGAATCAATATTGGAAATTGCTACCTATTCATCCGATTGGCGCTGATGCGTCATGGAATGTTATTCCAGATCGCCGATTAATTCTAAGTTGGATATTAATTTGAGCTGAGCTATTCTCGTTTTAAGTTACGGCAACACAAAGTGATTGAGGACTCGAGGTCCAGCGTTGAGTCCGGAGCTCAAATGGATTTTGGCCTCAACCATTTGACAGCAGTGAAGTAGTCTTACGGAGCTGTAGTAGACTTCTTGATTCTTGTCCTGAGGTCTGTCAGGGGTGACGACGAGATGCATCACGATGAGGATGAGGATGAGTCCCTCAGTGATGCCCCTCTCCTAGAAACCAAATCATTCATATTGGCAAACATCTCATGGAGAACGAAAGACCCCAAGTCAAATTTCTACACCGTATTTCATGAAACATTTCATGAAGCAAAAAAGGATGATTAGAGAAGCATTCAATGTTGCTTCTTGATGAGAGCGCTCTTGCTTTGGCTGCTCTTGGCAGACCTTTCGCGAGCCGTGCTGGGCAGAGGCCACATATTTCTTTGATTGCCGTTCGTTAGAAAACTGAACATGTGCTCTAAGGTTTTAGTTTTTCTTGCTTGTTGTTCTTTTGCTACCATTTTGCCCAATTTACGATTTCACACTCTAGTGTATTTTGTGACCTTTTGTTTCCTTTTTCTCATTTGCAGGAGGATGCCTTTGGCATCGAAGAGGCATACAGAGTGGTTGCCTCATTGCCTTGGGTGCAGCATTTTGAGGGAAATTTTATGCTACAGTGCATTCAAGCACTTTATACAATTGATCGTCATGAGTCATGTGCACTTGAAAAGACAGAGATCAACAAGATGCGTGAATGCCAGAGAGGTTCACACCATAATGCCAAGGACCTATCAGGCACTCTCAAGCTCATTCAAAACCAGCGAGTTTTTGCCTCAGATTGCCAAGCAAGGGGTTCAACACGGTTCAATATCTCAACCGTGGATTTTTGACACAGTCCTGCAGAAGGCCTGAGCCGCCGCCGTTGCCTCCAAGGTTTTGCTCCATGAGAGGGGTGGATACATGGAGGGAGGGCACATGGAGCAGCGTCTCAACAAGGCTGAGGCAGCTGCTTTTGCAGGTTTCCACTTGTGCAGCTTCTTATGGATTTGTTATTTCAAGATTCCATTGGTCACTTCTACTTGTGATCATTTTGTTGGATACATAAATCCGTGTGAAAGACAACTTGGCTCGAGTTCAAACCACTTTGAAAGTCATGGGCTCTGGAGCTTCGAGTGCAGCTCCAAAGGAGGAGCAAGAGGAGCAGAGCACTTTAAAAGTGTCTGAACTTTCGGCAGAGGAGCAAAAAAGGGTCGATGAAGCCGTGCAGAAGGCGACCAATGACACTTTGCTTGAAATCCAAAAAGAGAAGAAGTGGAAGGCAGCAGCTGATGAGTTGAAGCCCAAGCTAGCTGCGCGAAAATGTGCTGGTGAAAAGGTATTGCTTTGGATGAGTGACGGGATCTTGTCATGGCCTTTGGCAGCCAATGCGGCGAAGGAGGGTGTGCTTCCATTGTTTTATCCATCCAAAGAGCAACATACTTTGTCAGATGACCTAGTCGATGCTTTGAAGGCGGCCGAAGTACCTGAAGGGTCTTTGACGAATGTTGGATGGATGTTTCATGGTTCTGAGATGACGGGAGAACACAAAGAGGCAAATCTGAAGTTCCTTGCCGCTCTCAAACCATATCTCACCACAGAAGCCCGTGTTGACATTTTGGCCTGCGAGTGCGTTGCCGGACCCACAGGCATGAAGGTCTTCAAGGAGCTTGAGACGGAGTCCGGCATCAATTTGGCTGCTTCCAGTGATTTGACCGGGAATCCAGCCGCAGGTGGCAATTGGCTTCTGGAAACGGATGGTGTTGATGTGAAGGGAACGTACTTCACTGATGCGATTGCCGAGTTCAACGAGACCCTCCTAGGGTATGCTTTGCATCGGAAATTGATCCACAAGGCCCGTCGCCCTTGGTGAGCAAAGTGGGTCAGACGAGCCAACGATTGCGGCAGTGAGTGAAATGACACAACGAGTGGGGCAGTCGTCAGAGACATGGTCATTCTTTGCCCTTGGATCATTTTCAATTTGTACTGGTATCTTTCCTTCGCGTGCCGTGCAGTTTGTGTAGTCTAACACTGTCTACACAGTTGCCGTTTTCACGCACATCACACGGACAACAGCTTCAAGGCTGATGTCACAATACTACAATTTGCTGAGAGCTGTGAAAAGGGTCTTCGCGAGAAGGTTGCATTGTGTGGCTTCTTGTCATTGTTTTCAGTCTCAACAAAGGGCAAGAGAGCGTGCTCGCAGGGGTTGGTGAGGAAGGTGCGTGACAAGCTTGGCAACATGGAGGAGCTAGCCTCCGCCCCAGCATTTCTATCACCTAGCAAGCTTGACTTTAGCTAGTTATTGAAGTTGAAAAGGTCGGTGCGGTCCTCAAAATGCTTGCTTTACCTCTGTGCAATTTATACATCTGCAAAACAACATGTGATATCATATCATGTATATATGCATTTGGCTAAACTAGGTTCGGGTGAATGCGAAACAGCTGTTTGGAAGCAGCGACGGGAGCGACGGAAAGAGGCAGGGGGGTAGTTCTTATTTATTACTATATATTATTATATATTACTATTTTTTTAAAGTATTGCATTGAAGTATTGAGTAGCTAGCAGGCTTCCACCCCTGATAGCTGAGCAAAGGCAAACAAAACTTAAAGTATTGAATGCACCGAGAGGGCGGAAAGAAGTCAGCAATGCCTTGAGCTTCCACTGAGTTCCATTCTCACATCTCTCTTGAAAGAATGCACTAATCCCTGCATCGGTTCATGCATTGTACTAAGATGTCATTGAGAAATTCGTGCAGAGGATGAGTAGAAGCCTTCGCCGCTTTATCAGCAGCAACTTCACTGATGGACAGCGCAACCTGGATGATGCCAGATCCTCAAACCTTCAGCTAGTAGCTTCTTGTTACTAGTAGCGATGGCCTCCAACCAAAGAGTGATGGCCTCCAACCTAGTAGCTTCTTGTTAGTAGTAGTAGCGATGGCCTCCAACCTTCTCAGTCTTCACGTCCTTTGCTGCAAACCACTTGCTGCTAACTACTTGCTGCTAACTGGCCGTCCTGCATTTTTGGCCCATAGCCTTAGCTACTACATGCAGGTGATTCGTTGCCGATGCAAACTCTGCAGGATAAACGCGTAAAAACACAAAGATCTCTCTTTCCAAGTGCTGACGGTCCTTTGGTGTGTTCTGTCAAATTTAGGTGAGCTCCATGTCGCCGTCTCCTTCAGGGATGTCGTGCAGCGTTCAGGGCATTTTCGAGTGTGGAAACACCGGAAACGCCTGAAGAATGGAGCTGCACTCTTTGTCAATGCCAGAATGAGATTGAATCCACATCTCCTGTAACTGTAGTCCGTTGAGATAGTTTTCGATGGGATTCCATTGACTCAAGAGCATCTTAGATTGCTGAGTGCTGAGGACTGGTTTGGGCACGGCTGACGATGGCGGAGATTCCCCAGAGGCGTGACTTTCGTTTATTCTGCTGTATTGCTTTGTAGCTGTGTGGCTGTGTCACTGTTTAGTTTGCGGCCTCAGATTGTCATGAATAAGTCATGCAATTTATCCAGGGGCTTAGGCCGGCTTACGGCTTACGCCTTCTGCTGCCAACCTTGAGAGACAAAAGGGCCCCACAACCTGCCCCCCTATCCTATCCCACAGAACGGTCCCACGTTGTCGCCCCCATCACGCCCACAGACAGCATCGCGTAAAGATGCCCAAACATTGTTCAATTCCGCCCTGAGCCTGAGACTTGGGCAAAATCGCCCGGGTGCTGCCAAGTAGTACCTGTAAACCGATCCTAAAGTCCTAAACAGGCTGCAGCCATACTTATCGATCTATGTGAATGGTTGGTTGGGTAGGGCCACATTGAGATTTGAAACATAAAGCTATAGATTCCAATCTTGATGCCCATGGTCTGCAGAGCGCCGCGGTCAACTCATACTTCAAGAACCCTAAAGTTTACGCTTCTTACTCTGTTCCAACATGACACTTGCGGTCTACAGCGGATCGGATTAACACGTCCATTTTGCGTGGCAGGTACAGCACGGTCAGATTTCCACACCCGTTTAAATTCATAATATTTATAAGGCTTTCAGGTGTGGAAATCTGACCGCAACTGAGGTGTCGACATGTTGCACGTAGGATTCTAAGGGGAAAGGGTTTGTGATGTTTTAGAAGTCAAGAAGCGCAACTTTTGGCACCCCAGTGTATGGTTTCCTCAGCTGGGTATCGCCATCGCTCGTAGATGTCTGTCGGGCTGCATACTTCGACGATGGCTCGCTGTTGGACTTCTTCGGCCAGCCAGCCGATGCTTCGCAAGTGGGCTTACAGCTCGTCTTCAAGCTCATGGGAGCTCCCCATCATGTGTCTCGCAATTGGCATTACCTGGCACTTCCGTGCGCTTCGGACATTTTTTGTGACCTGCCTGTCTTCCATTTCCAACCCAAAGCATCTACCGCTCGCAAGGTCCAGGCCAGGCTCCGTCAAGCACTTGGAGACCAATCCTTGCTTCCTGATGACGCTGGTAAGTTGTGAGGGGCTTGAACTGGCTGTTCTCGATGTCTGGTCACTCGGGTCGGTTCGCCGGCTCACGGATAAGCGTTCCCAGGATCCATCGCTTGGGTCCTCTGAAATCATTACACTCTCCTTGCTTGATGCCATGCTGTCTCAAGCGCGACCGCGTGACGCAGATGCCCACTCCATACCATCACCCGTATAGTTGTGTACTCAGATGCGTTTATTTTTGGGCGGCGTGTTGCGCCTGGGGTGGGAAACATGGTGGAACCGCTTCTGGGAGACACATGCGTTGTACCAGACGAAGGGATTTCAAGTTGGTTGGCTAGACCTCAGCAAATCTACCCAGGTGAAACGCTGTGTGGACTTTGGCGCCGTGGATTCACCATGATTAAATCTCCCTCGTGTGCGTGATGTCCTTTGGTTTGTCGACAGCGAAGCCGCAGTTTCCCTCATTATTTGCGTCTAGCATCCAGAGTGACGTCTGTACCTAGCATGAAAGCTTTCACACATAGTTTTCCAGTTTCCAACGTTATAACATCACGTGGATCGACTCTGCGAGCAATCCCTCGGATGGCCTTGGTTGCGTGGGCCTCTCCATGAGGTCCCGTTCGCCTCTGACCTGTTTGTGGCACGCCCCGGTAAGTTCAAAGATGACTTAACCAGCCATTCCACGATTGAAGCCCAACGTTATTTATAACACAGCTGTTCAAGTAGAGTGGGAAGGTCCGAGACCCTCGCCTTGGAGCGAAAAGAGTATTGATGGCGCTAGCTCTGTTAGGTTGCGTTTTATTCCCGTTTCTTGCAACTACAGTGCCTCGTAACTTCCGCACCAGCGGTGCTACCTCCACCTTTCAATAAAGGTGTTGGCGGAAGCATTACAAGGTCAGTATCAATCAACCAACCAACCAACCAACCAATCAATCAATCAATCAAGCTTCTTGTGGCTTGGCAGGGAAAGTTCGATCGCCGTCCCATTAGATTGACGCTGCCGGTGGGTGCAGCCCCGACATCGCCGGAGAGTGAGCCCGGCTGCTTTGAGAGCTTGAGGACATGCAAGGATTTGGTGTGAACAAAACCATTCAGCCAGGTGAGCATTCCGGAACCAACAGCCCAGACAGATCGCCATCACGGGAGGTTTGGCCCTTGCTGTTCCTTTGTGCCATGAACAGGGGGAGGGTTCAAAGAAAGAACTCAAAGGAAATCAAACTGGCTAAGAGTCTAGGGCCGGGCGGTTCTATCTGACCAGAGGTCATCCTCTCCGAATCGAATGTGCTGATCAGCTCAGGCATCCGGGATTCAGGGATGTGGAGCATGCACTAAACGATCAGGACAATTGTTTAATTAATGTGAACATTTTCTTGCATTTCTTCTCCGCAGCCTTGGATTAAGCTTCCTAGGATCAGAATGAGCGATTGGATTGGATTTAGTTCGAACTTGGATGACCATGGTTTACAGTTTGCTCTTGTGATTTTCTTGCTTGCTGTTGCAGCATTCGCTGCAGCAATCAGCTTCCGGAAGCCTTGTGCTAAAATCGCGCAATCTGCCTTGGCCGAGGGTGCACCGACTGCCCCGAGATTGCCATTTTGCTTTTCTAAACGGCGTGTTGTGATCTTCGACTTCGATAACGTCCTAACCACTCAGGAAGTGAAAGAAGTGAGTGAAGGACGTGTTTTTACAGCTTTGAAGAAGGTCCTCTTGGGCGGGGCATTTGGTGGAGAAGAACGGTTGGCTTTGTTGGATGCGTTTTTGGACAACTTATCTCAGTGTGCTGACTTGGGAATCGTATCCCGCAACAGCCGTCAAGTCATCGAGGCCTCCTTGTCGTCGGCCGACTTGAAACAGTATTTCCATATGATTTTTGGTCACGAAGACTATCAGGATTCAGTACCCAAAAGCAAGATCATTCAGCACTTTCTGGAGCAGGGAGTGAATAAGCACGACCTTCTTTTTGTGGATGATATGTTCTTGAATGTGAGTGATGTTTCTCAGCACTGTCATGTTCCTACTTTGCACATCAGGAAGGCTGGAGGCATGGATCTTTGGGATTGTGATTACATCCTTAGCTGGGCTCGGCACACAGAGTATACGAGTTAGCCACACCTCACCTGAAACTTCACAGTGTACAGAAGGTGGGGCTCTTTTCTACCAACTCAGGAGAATCCATAGCTCAAGAACATTTTAGCGTTGAAACAGGCATAGGAGGATTTTGCCTCCTGAGACATTTGATTTCGCACATCGTGCCACGCACAAGGCGGTTTGCGCGGTTGACTTATAGCTAAGTTGTTTTTTTTAGAGGACGCTAATGATGATAATGTACTCCATGTACATAGATCTTCCGCCTGTACAGCGAACACTAAGCGGAAGCCATAAATTTGCATCGAGCTGAATCGCAGAAGCTTTGCACGTGAAACAAGTCGAGCGTACGGGTCATGTCATGCCTTTCAAAGCAAAGTGGCACACGACAACACAGTGACATTTTCTCCGCAAGGTATTCATTCCACTTTTTGTTGATAGTGCAAAAGGACAACACATTCTTTGTTGAGGACAGATGCCCTTCAAACTTTTTGTTATTGTTCAAGCCAAAGGGTGACTGTACTGTACTGGGCCGGAACACTGCCCAAGTGAGTCATCACCTATTCTACAGTGCTCCTTGATCGAAAATTGCTACGCACAGGCCTAAACTTGATTGCTCGACTGTGTCAGGTCACAAACAAGTGTGAATTTTCCCTGTTGTTGGTATCTTGTGTACAGCCGAGTTCTGTCCATCGTGCATTCCGCCGCCATTTGGGTTTACAGGGCCCTTGAGCTTACCCGCGCTTACGCCTGCGTGAAAACGCCGTTGGACGTCGCGGTCGGGACCAGTTTCACATTGGTAGCGGAGCAGGTTCGGGTTCGTCCCACTGCATCCATCAACCCGTAAATCCGCCGATCCAGGATTCGAATTTGCAACCAAGTGTTCTTGAAATTGCCCGTTGAGGCCTGACAGACAAGGAATGTCGGTCGCAGGGCTTCGCTTTAATCCCGACAAAAATTCAGCAGGCGGTACTCAGTTGGAGACCAAATCCGGCTCGTACATCTACTATGGTGATGCCGCATCGTTTCATGACTGGGAATTCCGCACCCGCCTTCGCATTCGTTTGTGGAAAGAAGGCAACAAACACAAGAGAGCAATTCCAGAAGGAGTACACCAGCGACAACACCCAAGAGGAGTGACATGCCCAATGGAGGCACTGAGGAGGACGCTGAGCTCCCAGGTTTCCCTCCGGTTGAACCAGAAGAAGAAGAGGAAGTAGTTGTCACCAAGCCAGACGTCAGCACACTCGTGAACAAGATTCTTGAAGGTTTGCGTGGAGATGCCTTTTGCTCGCCAGGGACGTCGGTCTTGATGCCCTGACCAGTGAGGAAGGATTGGAAGACCTATTGCAGAAGATGAAGGCTTTCGTTTTCCCACGTGCCAATGAGGAGGCGAAGGAGTTGTTCCGTGCTGGCCAGAAGCACGGGGGCCCTTTGTCTCGCCAGTCTGGAGAGTCCATGCTGTCGCGTTGGTGGTCCGTGCTGCAGGAATTGGATTCGACCATGATGCTGAGTGACAGTCTTCGCGCCGAACTGTTACTCGAATTGTCTGGTTTGTCACGCCAGGAGATCCTTGTGACCAAAGCATGCGCCAACCCCAAGAACTTCGAAGGATATTGCAAGGTTCTCGTTGACCACTACTCAGGAGTTCACCTCAGAGAAGGTGGCAAGACATGGCAAGGCCGCTCTTCACCTATGACTGGGAAGGGCAAGAGCTATTCAAATCATTCTGGCAAAGGCAAGAACGAAATGCATATGTTTCATACCCTGAATTGGATGAGCATTCGTCGTCACCATGGGAAACCATGGAAGAAACAGTTGAGACCAACTTCGATTCGATGAAGGCGACTCCCACGCCTGGTTGGGAGATGGATTTGATGAAGAAGAAGAAGTGCAGGGGCAAGAGTTCGACTATCTTGAAGAGCAAGAAGAAGCATTTGCCTTGAACGCAATGTTGGACCTCGAGGAGGCCGACGATCGTCAAGCAGGAGAAGCTATCCAGCTTCAGCTCGCTGCATTCAATGCATTAGGCAAAGCAAAAGGCAAAGGCAAAGGTTTCGGCAAGAAAGGTTTCAAAGGTAAAGGCAAAGGCAAGGTTGTCCGCAGCCAGATGAGCATTGAGCAACGCCGTGCCAAGCTTCGTGACCTGAAGGCCAAGTCCAAAGTGTCTTCGCTGTGGAGGCATGAGACATTGGGCAGGTGACCCTGGTTGCAAGTTTGCCAACAAGCCACAACCGCCGAAGCCTACTGCCAACCTGGCCTATGAAAGTGAGTCATCAGATGATGAAGAAGGGTTTGTTTATGTAGGTGCAGCCACATCCAATGAGCAGACCAATGCTGCCATGATGGCATTTCGCTCAGGAGCATCTGGTAAGGGTTCTCGTCCCCGTCCGTCGCAGGCGCAGTCGTCCATGGCTCATGCAAATGATGCCACTTCGTCCGACTTAGGTACCCGAGTGACTCCATCGTCGGTCGAGCGCCCAATGGGATTCGACAATGTGTTTCAGATTGGACAGTTCAAGGGGAAGACCTATTGGGAGGTTCTGCATCGACAACCCCAATTCTATGTATGGGCGAAGAAGGAAGGTTCTCGTGTTCCCGGAATCCAGCAGTATGTGCAATGGGTTGACCAGTTCTTTGAGTTCAGGGGTGGAGAGATTTACCTTCGAGATGAACCTGTTCAACCGCCCCCTGCATTGCCCGGTAGCACCAAGAAAGGAACTGCAAAGGCAACGCCGCCTTATCCGCCATTGCCCAACAAGTGCCAGAACTGCCAAGAGTTTTCGTTCCGAGGGAGCACGGGATACACGATTCGTCGCACGTGTTTGCATTGTGGGCATTCATCCACCGAGAAAAGGGAAGAGACACCCCAATACAAGCCTGAAGATTGCCCGCGTGAATCCACCGATAACAGGGGAGCAAGCCGTTCGACTCATCGCGCGTGGTGCACGTTCATGGATGAACTGCCAATGGACCTACGCTGTGAGCGAGTTGCCTTGGTAAAAGCTGTTGAGTCAACAGCCCAAGACAAGGTTAGCATCATTGAAGCCATCGCTCGAGATGATCAAGAAGTTTTGACCCCAGAAACGGTAGGTAGAATCTTAGGCATTTTCAGCTGTCTGGTTGAGTCCGAATGTTTGTCGTCGCCTGACACCCTGACTCAGACTCGACTTCATGAACTACTGCAAGAAGCTGCATTCCGAGACCAGATCTTGTTGGAGCAGGACCCAATCGGAGATGAGATTGCCTGGGGCCTTCGGGACCCCGAACACATAGGTTATGCTGCCGTCGAAACCAGTGCGTTCGTGTTCCATTCGGAAGTGCCTTCGAGCGTGAGCAATGGCAATGGTTTGGTATACTCCCAACAAGAAACCAGAGACATGTGGTGCGATAGTGACCCCAACATCGATGCAATTTTGGACAAGGGTTGCAATAGCGCTTGCCATTCACAATACTGGATGGAGAAAGCAGAAGCCAAATTCAAGAAATTGGGTTATGAAGTAGGCTGGGCATCGAAAGAGGGCAAGGTTTTCTCAGGTCTTGGCAGTCAAGGCAACAAGACCCAAGGTTGCAGGGTTTTGCCAATTTCGTCGTTGAACATGCAAGACGACCAAAACCCCATTCGAGGAATCCTTGAATCCCATCAGCTCCAAGAGGGTCGATCGCCGATGCTTTTGTCGCTTCATGCACAGTCCCACTTAGGCCTTGTGAAGGATTTGGCAAAAGGCGCCATTCATATTGAAGGTCGCCGACTCCCCATCTTCCGTTGCAGCAAAACAGGTCTTTTGATGATTTCGTTGACCGGGGGACTGATTGATGCCACCCGAAACTTCCAGAGTCTGCCGCGAAGTGTCATCGAAAGTTTCGCTGTTGCTACATGGCTCGAAATGTTGCATCAACCTCCCCAGACCGAGGGTCGGGTATCGATCCTGAAGTTGCCATGAATGAGTATGAGGCCGCATTCACTGGCCAAAGGTTCAGAAGGCAGAAAGATGCACAAGCTGCCATTGACCTCACACAGACACAGGTCTTGATCGCGAGCAAAGGATCTCGCTACGAACAGCCCTTAGGCCACTTCTCCGAGTGGACTTGAAGAAGCTGAATGATCCAGATCGAGGCAAAACAATGTCAGCCCACATTGGAACGCATCCCCGCATCTTGGAAGCACTTCTCGATCATGGAGAAATGCGCGGTCACCTACTATAGAATGCG